CACTGTATTCTTCTTCGCCTTTTTTTTATTTATTTATTTATTCCTGGAAAAGGTCTGTTGGCGAAGCTTAGGGGGGCTTGCTTCGATTATAGGCTGAGCAAAGCTGAGGCTGGTCCCGTTGCCAGGAGACGTCTGGAGGTGGGGTGTCACTGTTCTGGCTAGATCCGATGCATCCTTCTCAGGCCGGCTCAATTTCACTCGCACCGGATTAGATCAATGTAGGATATCGATAGTCTCAACGCATGTCAACTGAGTGTTCGGGATTCTCGAGTCCAGTGATCAAGGGGGCTCTCATTAGCCACGTGTATTCCCCCTTCCCCTTGCCACCCACTTCGGACTTCGGACAGCTATCCCTTCACCCAAGCAACGACACCGAGCACAAAGACGCAGACGAGAATGTCCCTCCTCACGCTAGCGAAAACATTGCCGTACCGCAGCGCCGTCTCGACCCAGCCCCTCCACGGGCCCGGCAGAAAAGCAGCAACGGTCCAGGCGATGCCGGCCTCGGCAGGCCGGCCCTTCAGCAGGAACATCCTCGTCGTGATGAGCAGGGCCTCGGCCGTGGCGAACATCCAGAAGAAGACCTCCCTGCCCTCCTCCATGCGGTTGACCTCGCCGACGACGTCGTCGCTGGCCGTCGGGTACGTGAGGGCCAGCGCCGTGCGCTCGCGCTGCGCCTTGGCGCCCGTAAAGTGCGTCGTCGCGACAATGTAGAGGCCCAGCGTCAGGGCGAAGACGGCGTGGAGCACGCGCCAGAGATAGTCTGCCGAAGACGACGACGCCTGCGCCTGCGCCTGCTGGCCGGCGGCGCCCGGCATGCCTGGAAAGCCTGGGAAGCCCGGCGGGAAGGGACTGCCGTCGGCGGCACCAGGGAGGCCGCCGCCCGCCATCATCTGCGAGAGCATCTTCATCATGGGGTCCTCGTCACCGGCGGCGCCCATGGCGGCAAAGGCGTTTTGAAAGTCGGTGGGCGGTGCTTCGCCGCCGGCGGGCGGACGCTCGAAGCCGAGCATCATCTGGCGGAGCTGGGCCTCGGAGAGGTCGTTGGGGTTGGAGCCGGCGCCGGGACCTGCGCGGGGCGGAATGCGCTGCGTCGCACTGGGCTCGTAGTAGTGCTGCGAGATGTCAACCTCGTCGGGGTCGGCGTGATCGGCGGCGGAGGAGGAGGCAGGAGGTGGCGGCGGCGGCGCGGCTGCTTGCTTTGTGGGGGCGGGTGACGCCGTGGCTGAAGGCGCTGGTGATGAAGTTGCCGAAGAGTCTGCGGATCATGATGTTGTCAGCGATCAAAGACATCCATGATATGATCGAGACGAGCTCAGTGTTCATGGTACATACCTGGTGCGCGGCCGCCTAGGCCAGTGATCTTGTCGAGCCGTGATGCACCTCCGGCCTTGATCTTTGCTTCCCGGCGTTCCTTGCGCAAACGAGCTTGCTCGGAGGCTCGCTGAGCAGCAGCATCCTCAGGTGTGAGTTCGGTCATTTTGGTCGTGATCGTGGGGAGGGAAACAGCACTTGTCGACGATGGCCAAACGACCAAGTCAAATGGTGGGAGTGGCCGAGTGACGTTTTGTGGACGAGAGCAAGGAGCGAGTGGCCTCCAAATGTGACAGGGGTCCATACTTATCTTATCGCTTTCACCCCCCTTGGAACAGTGAATTGAACCCTCCCTCTTTATTCTCTATTACAAAAGGACTCGAGTCTTGGGCATGCGTTCTATCCATTATTGACAGAATGTTCACACAAAACGGTCACTCGTTTCTCATGATTTTCTCAGAATAAACAGTTGTTCATGACGTTCAAGGCTACACCATGTATATTGCTTGCTTCACCGACCGGCCTCCACCAAACCCTTCGGTGTTGCGCAGGCGCAAGATCACCCTCGCTGCAGAGCTTGCATTAACACTTTTGCTCGTCAACTTCGTCAAATCAAGGCGTAGCCTTGCTCATGCTGATCAGTCGCTTGACACCGACCTAAGAGAAGTTAGTTTGCGTAGCAAAAGTTCAATCAGGAAACAAACGTACCATCCAGTTGCCGCACTCCGTCGTCTTCTCACGCTGAACTTCCACCTGCAGGGCCTGCGCCCCGTCGTAGTCCCTCGCTTGAAGAGCCTCGGCGATCTGGTTGAGCTTCTCAATCGTATCAGGCTGCACCAGTTCTTGGTTGTTGAGGTGGTCAAACAAAAAGGTTGAGACGCTTCTGCGTGTCCTTAACCTGAGGCCCGAACGACGCTGGCGCCTTGCTAGCGACCCTTTGCATATCCGAGCTGAACACCTCAACTAGGCGCTGTGCATTAGCCGGGACGTGACTGCGGTCGTCGGCGGGATGCCTCGCCGCGGGGGGTGCTGAGGCTCTGGGCGGAGGAGGCGTCGGCCTGGCGCCCGCAGGCGGTCCACCGGGAGGAGGTCCTGCTGAAGGGGGCGGACCACCGGGGGGAGGGCCCGTCGGGGGCGGACCGGATGCCTGCGGAGGCGCCTGGTAGGGCGAAGGCGCGTACTGGCTTTGAGGGGTTCCCGCAGATGGCGGTGGCGCGTACGGGTTCCTTGGGGGCGGTGCGCTGCCCAGAGGGGGCCCTGCCGAGGGCACTGGTCCCTGGGGAGGCTGGTTCGTCTGCTGCGCTGCGGGGCTAGGCGCATACCGGTTGGAAGGAGGTGCTCCGCCAGGGAGGGAGCACCCATAGGGCCGAAGCGGGTGCGGGGGGGGCATCTGAGGAATTCTGCGGGGTGCGGCAACAGAAGCCAGGCTGGAGGTTGTTGAGGGAGCATAAACATTTGCTGGCAGAACGACGTGGGCCTTCGGTGGCCCCTGGA